ACCACCACGTTTTTGAACAGAGTTTTGAAGTAAGGAACGATCTTAGGAAGCACATGTAAATCCGCCATGTTTATACTCATCATATCGAAAGCAATGCAGGTATTGTGCATATGCGACTCGTCAATCACCGGTATCTTCGGGTATCTCTGGCTAAAATGAGTCAGAATGATACGATACACCCCCGCTGAAGATCCAACGTCGATTGCTTCTTTAGTCGTGCTATGATTCTTAGCCACAGCTTCCTCTACCAACGCATCCTCAAATGTCGCCTGTTAAAACAAAGAGAAGAAATTTATTAGAACGTCAAATAAGTACTAATGTTCAGACAATTTTGTTTATATAGAAAAATATTCACAAACCTCATGTATAAGAACAGTTGCTCCTTTTGAAGCTTCAACCATCTGAGGACAAGGCCTTGTGTCGCCTGAGTAAACCATTTTCCAACCCGGAATTTGATCTCTGTTGATGTTTTTTCTTTCCGCTGCTTTTACAACAACCCCATAGGCTTGAGGGCAATGTACAACAGGAAAACTAATCATATCCTCCAAACCCATTTCTCCAAGGACCTTTTTCAGTTTCATTATGTATGGTAAAGCTGAAGAATTGTCCATCAGTGGGCTACTCGGTCTCTTATATATACTCTGCATTGGACTTCCTTTACTAAACAACGAACTCTCTGCACTGCAGTTAGTGGTAGTTTTCTCAGGGCTGGTGGGTTTTAGAGAAGCCCAAGAAGTTGCTGTGGTGTTCCTGCAATCAAGAAACACCATATCCAAATCCTCGAGTCTTTGATATGCATCGAGGAAGTTCTTAAGCGGTCTCGGCCCAACCACAACTGCTGGCTCGTGAGGCACTCCTTTCAGAAGCTCACATCTACGGGAAAGGATTCTTGCAAGACCCGTATGGTGATCAGCATGGATGTGAGAGATCCATATACATTTCAACTTTCTGACTGCTTCATCAGCCCCATCTAAACCATATCTTCGTTTAAGCTGGCCCAAAGTACCTTCCCCACAATCCAAGAACATACTGCCTCTAGAGAATAGGTCAATATAAACCGCACTGACATTTCTGTATTTTGAGGGTTGGGACGAACCAGTGCCCAAAAGAACTATTTCCATGTCGTCTCGCCTAATGTTTTCAAGACAGCTTGGAACAGTACTCTCACTCAGCCATGGCTCTTCGATCATCATCTTGTTGTGTAGTCCATCCCATAACTGCTTGATTTCTTCGGTCTTACCATTGATCTCAGGAATTTCTGAAAGTATCTCATTTATCACTCGTGAGGATGTCAATTGACTAGGGATACAAGATCTGTCTAGCCCAAGGTTACCATGTGGACGTAAAGTGAACTGCCAACCATATAACAAGGAGAGAGAGACTTAAGAGCTAAAGGAAGCAAGTTTCATATCGAGGAAGCAATGCTTAAAACAACAGAAAAGGAACCCCAAGCATGAGAAACTTCAATACCTTGAGGAGATTTTCCGCGGAAATATTTTCACCAAGACTTGAACCGAAGCACTGACAAGCGAAGAAAAGAACACAGCTTGAATCATTGACCGAAACCAGAATCAAACTCAATAAAAATGTATCAGAAAAGCATTTGCAACCTTGCTTACGGAATCTACCGAGTTATTAACATGTTGAGGAGACCAAAATCCAGGAGCTGGAAAGAACTGTGGGCATAAATAGTTAAGTCTGGCTGTGATTTTAGAACTGGCTTTCAGGATAGGGAACTCCATATTCTTCCTAGACAAACACCAAAACGAACTATCAGAAAAATAAAATAAACATTTCTGATAAGAAAAAACCATGATTGAGTGAGTACTCACGTTTCGTGTCCAGCGAGAATATGCTGGGCAGAATGGAATCTCTCCATCCAGCTCTGGTAAATAGGACTATTTGTTACAGAAGCTGGACTTAAATGAACAACACAATTAACAAACTTAGCCCCATCTGTTGAATTTTCAGAACATGAATAATAATTCTTCATAGAAGGAATAGATAGCAGTTCCTCCGCATGTGACGCTGTTGGACAGTCCACAAGTAAAACAACAGGACCAGGAACTGAAGGTCCCATCACATCACTCGGATGAACCTATGATCAAGCATAAACAGTGTCAGTCAGCTCCGAGAGAAACTGATATTGGATTGTGGATACTCTCGAGAATTGCTCTTTGTGACCTACCGTAATATCTTTCAAATCTGACTTCACTGACTGTCCAGACTGAAGTTTACCATATTTTGGACCAGCTCTCAGTCCAAGAGCCATGGCCTTGTTTGGGTCAAATTTTCCATTGATTTCAGGTAATTCACATACATATATAACAGACGTTTCACCAGCTCTGTTTCCGGATTCCTCTGAGTGACTTGGTTCAAGAAGAATGGCGGAGATTTTCACAACTTTGTCATCCACAAGTACAAAGGGATCGTCTTTGGTTTTACTTGAGCCAATCTGAGGCGTGGAGTCAGATGTAGTCAACGATGGACCAAAACTTCGAGTATGAACCATCGCAGCACGAGGGATAAATGACCTCATAGCATCAACTAAATACTTAAGATCAGAAGGACCCCATACGTTCACCTTTGTAAAAAAAAAGAGATTTCAGAAGCTCAGCAATTCCATTCAAGTGCTAATTATCAGATGGCAAGCACAAACTCAAAAAAAAAAACAGACAGGAAACATACAAAGAGATCATATGAGAAGAACACTCACGGATAGTCCTTCTTCACCAATACCAGCCAGAGTCAGTAGAAGGCCTAAAGCAATCAAAATACGAAAACTTATCACCGTCTAACGATCTAGCAGCAAACACATCGAAACTGATGTCTGGATCACAAACACAAACCTGGAAGGCCACCTGCTGTCTCTGAGCACACACGAGACAAAAATATATGATCTACCTGAAAGTGTTAACGGATCATCACATTTCAAAATTCAAACTCACCTCATCACACACAGAAGAAAAAAAGGCACAATCAGTATGTCCAAAACACAGCAGTTTAGTCATACCTTTGATAACTTAATTTTGTGTTCTGTACAGAAACGTTGCAAGCCCTGCAATTCAATTGTTCACTAATAAGCCACTTAATAAAACCTATACATTTATGAGTAAAAGATAAACTCATATCAGAGAAATTGCAGAAAACTGACCTCTCCAGCATTAAAGATGAATCTTTGTTTGTCAAAGAAAAGTAACACAGAAGGTGATGTATCCTGTGTATCCATTCCCGTTCCAAGAATCTTAAAATGCAGACACAAAACCGGTTAATCAAATTCGCAAACTTGAACAAAAACTCAAATTTGAAGTAGAGATTGAAACCTGAACATATGCAATGGTATTGGTAGGATTAAGCGCTCGAGAATTCCGTTTAAGATTCTTCTTAGGCTTATCGAATTTATCCATTCCTTGAGCTCTTCTCTTATTAAACTCGAAAGAATCAGAAGCACGATCAAAACTAGCTTTGTCTTTCTCCATCGGAGACATACCTTTTCTCTGCTTACTCTTGTCCTCTTCGAAACTAGACCACTTGCGTCTCGGAGGAGAAGATGGGTCAGTGCGACGGTAACGAGGGCGACTCGGGCGAGAAGAGGAAGGAGAAGAAGCGAAGATTGGGTAAAGAGAAAAGGGTCTGAGAAAGAGAGCGAAAGAAGAAGACTTTAGAGGAGAAAATCCGAAATGGGTTAGGTTTTGAGGAATTTGAGGCATTGAAGTTAACATTTTTCGTACTAACAAAGCTTCCTTCCTCCTACTCCTTCCCGTTTTTATTTCTCGGTAGAGAGATTCACAGATCAGACAGAGTCCACCTCCTCGATCGATTTTTTTTTTCTTTTCAAATGAAAATATTAATTTGGGCCCATGGGCTTTTATATTGCATTCTCGGTCCA